GGGGCTACTTCACACGGGGTCCCCTCCCAAGCCCCAGAAGTGAGTCGGATCTCTATCTAATCGTGGCACGGGCGGCCTCTGTTCTGTCGACGGCGTCGCTGGTCGTTGGCGAGCATAAGTCTTAACTAAGCATCCGCACGGCATGTTGCGGCCGATGACAGTCGTTTCCGCGCGGATTATCTCACGCGATCATGTTTCCGCCGTTATCTGGGGCCGCGGTGGCTGGCAAAGCTCCACAGCCACTTAAATGATAACATTCGTCCTAATACCGTGGAAGACGGCCGCCTCCTCGGGGCGGCTTTAGTTTTAATCGTGTGTGTCAGCAGCAAACAGCGCGGAAGGCCCGGAGGAGCCAGCGGCGCGCGCTCTCACGGAGGCGGCGATATGGATGTATTTAATATCTGTATTAAAAACCTCTTAGGCGCCACGGAGATACTGAACCGATCGTCGACACGTGCAGGCCAGACCCGGGGCTGTGTGAGGGGCGCGATCCTATGTGCCTGACGGAGACCCCGGGAGGTGGTTCCGTGTCTAATTCGGGCTCCAAAAGTCCTTGCCAGACCCCGGGCCCGGCAGTGAGATGTCCTGAAACAAGGAGGAGCTGGGAGGATGGACTCGTGTCCTCGTTTGGGGCTTGTGTTCGGTCAGCCCGTGGGTGAGTGGGTGGGCTGCGCCATTGAAATATCTAACCCCTTGTCCCCAGCAGCGCAACCTTCCACCCGACGCTGCCGTTCACTAGCGCCCAGAATATTCTTGTTCTTTACCCGAAGGATAGCCGGGACCCGCAGAGGGAATGCACCGAGCACAATGCGAAGTCACGCACAGAGCCCCGGCGGGAGGGCCCAGAGACAAACGCCGTTTTGGAGTTGATGTCCGGGAGATCTGCTCAATCAGAGGGGCCCAGGTCCTGAGCTGCGAGGGGAGGGGGCCTGGAGGGACAGGGCTGCTGACTGGACTGGGGACACACCTTCCAAGAAGGAGCGGGGCCCGCCTGGCTCAGTGGTTGAGCATCGACCTATGAACCAGGAGGTCACGGTTCGATTCCCGATCACGGCACATGCCCGGGTCTCAGGCTCCACTCCCCCGCCCCCG